TTATTGGCGTGACTTGTCAAGTATTGCCAAAACATTGCAGATTACATAAACAATGAACAGAATCTTAACATGATTTAGAGACGTACAGAATAAAGCACCATTGTAATATTGATAAATGCATGCACAAATAAGAAATAAAGCAAAGACGTGATATGAGGATTAAAAAGATAATAATGAAGGAGAAATATATATGTCAGTATTATTTAAAATATAACAAAATTAAAAAGCCTACATTTATTCAAATTGGTTGTAATAATGATTCCTACTGGTTTTGTTCACTGCCTGTTTAACAGGCTTATATACTTTGCATTTCTCAGGTACATATATAATACACCATATAAAGTCAATACACATAAGTAAATAAAACTTATAATATTAATAAGAAGATAAAAATAATTAAACAAATAATAAATAAATACATAAATGAATAAATAAATATTGAAGTAATAAATTAATAATTAATGAATGAATAAATAAAAAAAAATATATATATATTTATATATATATATATATATATATATATATATATATATATATATATATATATATATATATATATTAACACTTGTAATAAAAGGAGAATTTGAAATAAGGGCACAAGGGCGGCATGGTGGCTCAGTGGTTAGCACTGTGGCCTCACAGCATAAAGGTCGCTGGTTTGAGTCCCAGCAAGGTCAGTTGGTGTTTCTGTGTGGAGTTTGCACGTTCTCCTTGTGTTGGCGTGTGTTTCTTCTGAGTGCTCCGGTTTCCCCCACAGTCCAAACACATGCGGTACAGGTAAATTGGGTAGGCTAAATTGTCTGTAGTGTACGAGTGTGAATGAGTGTGTATGGATGTTTCCCAGTGATGGGCTGCAGCTGGAAGGGCATTCGCTGGCGGTTTATTCCGCTGTGGTGACCTTAGAAAGAAAATAAATGAATAAATAATGAAAAAATTTATATTTAAATAATAAATAAATAATTAAATAAAAAAATAAAAAAATAATGAAATAAATAAATGTTTAATTAATTAATATTTAAATAATAAATAATTAAATAATTATTCAAATAATAAATAAATAAATGTTTAATAAATTAATTAATATTTAAATAATAAATAAATGAATACATATTTAAATAACAAATAAATGTTTAATTAATTTATATTTAAATAATAAATAAATGAATAAATAAAAATTCAAATAATAAATAAATAAATATTTAATTGATTAATTCATATTTCAATAATAAATAAATAATTTAATAAATAAATAAAAATTTAAATAATACATTAATTAATTAATAAATAAATAAACATTTAAATATTTGGTTTCTCTTTCTTATTGATTCTTTGCCACCTGTACTGACCATTCACCTGTTTTTGACTATGATCTTGGATTACCTTTATGCTCCTGTTTGCTACCTGTTTGTCTACTTTACTGCTCCTATCAAAAAACTGCACGTGGATCCTCAACTCTGTTGTCCAGTGTCCCCCGTTACAGCTTGCTTGATTTAAAATGAATGATCTGTATTTTCCTAAAGCTGTTCAGGGACCAAACTCTTATTTAAATGGATAAATCTGTTTTGTTTAAATGCACCAAAATATATTGAACACATTCACTGAGTAATGGATAAAAATATTCATTTTCAGACGGGGTGTACTCGTTTATGCCGAACGCTGTGAGAAAACACAGTCTTATAATTATTCATGACACCATTTAACAAGTGCTTCAAACACTCGGTCACTTCACAGTTTCTGCTTGGCTTCCTCTGTGGCGCTGTGTGTGCAAATGTCAGCGATTGCATGAGAGTTTGTGGATTTATGTGGATGCAAAAATGGGCTCTTTAAATCCAATTACACACTGGAACAAAGATTCATTGGGTTTACTCGATTATTTTAAGGTAAGTGTTTGCAAACGATTTATGTGGGCTGAATTTAAACAAACACATCAAGTTGAATGTTATTAAATTAAATGTGTTTGTTTTAATTCAGCCCATAAAAATAGTTTGCAAACACTTACCTTAAAATAATCGAATAAACCCAATGAATCATATTTTTATTTGCAGTTGAAGAAATTTTTCCTCCTAATGTGATTTCTCCAAGTGCTGTTTAACAGTGCAAGCAGATTTGCTCACAGTATTTCATTATTATACATTTATATTTTGCAGAATGTCTTATTTATTTTAGTTTGGCCGGATTAATAAACTGACTTGATTGGCTACAGAACAAACCACTGTTGTGCAGTGACTTGCCTAATTAACCTAATTAACCTAGTGAAGCCTTCAAATTTCACTTTAAGCTGATTTAGCAAGTATCTTGCTAAATGACACGTAAAATATTATGTGCTGTCATTATTGCAAAATAAGTTAGTTAAATTAAACTTTTTTTATTCAATTATTAATTAAAATTATTATTTAATAAATGGTAAATTGCATTAAATTAAATAAATAAAATATAATTTGTATTAAATTTATTTTATAATTTTAATTATTTATTTAAATGACATTTTAATGAATTTATAATTTGTATTAAATTAATTTTATACTTCGTATTTTAATTATTGTATTTTATTTTAATTAATTTTATAATTAATTTATAAATAATTTATACTTTTTATAACATTTATGAATAAATTATAAATGTATTTAAATAATTAAAACAAATATGTTATTATCTTGCAAAATAACTAGTAAAATATTATGTACTCTCATTGCAAAATAAGTAAAAAAAATAAAAAATGTTTAATTCAGTTATTAATTAAAATTATTAATAAATAAATCCTAATTTGTGTTAAATAATTTTATAAATTTAATTATTCAATCAAATCACATTTTAGTTAATTTATAATTTGTATTAAATTTATTGTATAATTCATATTTTAATTATTTTATTTAATTAATTTATAAATAATTTATAAATAATTTATACTTTTTATAACAGTTGTGAATACATTATAAATGTATTTAATTTATTAAAACAAACAAAAATAATTCTTGCAAAATAACTAGTAAAATATTATGTGCTGTCATCATTGCAAAATAAGTTATTAAAAATGTATTTAAATAAGTTATTAAAAATTAAAACCAGTTAATTACAAATAAAGTATTAATTAAAATTGTAATTTATTAAAATTTAAATTGTAATAAATTAATTAATTAAATTATAATTGGCATTAAATTAACTTTATTATTTTTATTTTAATTATTTAATTTAATACCATTTTAATTAATTTTATAATGAATTTATTAAATTCATTTGATAATTGTGATTTTAATCATTTTATTTTATTTTAGTTAATTTTATAATTAACTTTATTATTAATTTAGAAATAGTTTATGCTTTTTATAAAATTTATGAATACATTAGAAATGTATTTAAAATATTAGAACAAATGAATTATTATCTTGGAAAATATCTTGTAAAACTTTATGTAGTCACCATTGCAATTTTGCAAAGTTAGTTAGTTATTAACATTTTCGAATTAAAAATGTTTTATTACAAATAAATAATTAATTAAATAAATTTTTAATTCCCTTTAAGCATACTTCATTAATGAACCAGAAGTATATACAGTTGCATTTCTCTGTGTTTCTGTCCTCTGACTCTAGTGCAGATTAAGTGCACATGACATCAAATATATTGGTGTATCTGTTCAGAGTCGTGCTTTAACTGTGGTGTGTTCATGTCATTTGTTTTTCACAGAGAGATGAACGGCCTGCTGCGTTCAGCAATGAGATTTTATTGTTCAAATGGGATTAATCCAGTCATGCGAGTGTATTGCTGCTATTCTTAGTGCTGAGCTTAGCCATTGTCATCCGCTCACCTGCAGACTGAGACCCCATTCAAGACAGCGTACACTAATGAACGCACCAGACCATGAGGGTTTATTATAACCGCACACAGTTGAAGTCAGCATTATTAGTCCTCCTGTATATTTCTGTTTATTGGAGAGATCATTCATAATCATGTTTTGATTACTCGTTTCTAATAACGGATTTATTTTCTCTTTGCCATGATGAGAGCACATACAGTTGAAACCAGACGTTTACATACACTCCAAAAAAAAAGGAACATGACCATTTTTTAAATGTCTGATGGTAAGTTTCTGGGGGGAGAATTTGTTATAGTTTCTAGACAGTCAAAAGTTTGCACACATTTCCTTGGTATGTTTTAGCTTTGCTTTTAAACTGTGTAACTTCAGTCAAATATTTTGGGTCTCCTTCCACAAGCTTCTCACAATAGTTTGCAGGAGTTTTGGCTCATTCCTCCTGCAGAATTGCTGTAACTGAGTCAGATTTGTAGGCTGTCTTGCTCGCACAAGCTTTTTCAACTCTGCCCACACATTCTCTATAGGATTGAGATCAGGGCTTTGTGATGGCCACTCCAAAACATTCACTCTGTTGTCCTTAAAGCACATGTGAACTGATTTGGCAGTGTGTTTAGGGTTATGGTCTGTTTGAAAGACGCATTTGTGGGCAAGTTGTAATGTCCTGGCTGATGTGTTGAGATGTTGCTTCAGTATTTCTCCATCATGTTCTGTCTTCATGATGCCATCTATGCTGTGAAGTGGACCAGTCCCTCCTGCAGCAAAACAGCCCCACAACATGACGCTGCCGCCTCCATACTGCACAGTTGGGATGGTGTTCTAGGCTTGTGTGCTTTCCCCTTTGTCCTCCAAATGCATCACTGCTCATTATGGCCAAACAGTTCAATCGTAGCTCCATCAGACCACAGGACATGTCTCCAAACATCAGTCTTTCCCCAGTGTCATTCAGCTAATGGTAATCTGGCTTTGTTGTTGATTCTGGCTTGTTGATTCTCCATGTTGTCACACAGGGAAGCAGTGTGTTTGAGCTTTTCCTTCAATAATATTCTACAGTTCTGCCTCACATTAACTCAAATGTTGTCAATTAGCCAATCAGAAACTTCCAAAACCTCAACCCCGTATTAATAAAGGGACCAAGCCGAAAAGAAAATGAATGAATGAATGAATGAATGAATCTGTCTCTTGTGTTTTGCAG